GTGATATTGCAAACATTTTAGTCGTTGGGTAATCCTGAAAATTAAATTCTTCAGAATCTGCTTAATTTTTTCTTGCTCATCACAAAACAGCGTGAGTGTGTGTGTGTGTGTGTGGGGGGGTGATCCAATAGCCCAACCCCTCCCTCAACAAGTGGGGTGATATATACCCCCATCCCCGGGGATTTACGCTCATGAGCATGGCGAATCCAAAGATGTAGCACGAAGCAATGAACCTCGCATGTATACGAGGAAAGGCAATAGCCGTGAAATTCTTCTAATCTCTACCTCATTACGCTGTCTTCATTACCGTCTATACCGGGACTGGGAAGCAAATTATGTTGTAAAGACGATACGGGAAATTCAAAGTGCAATCCACTGAACTGAAAGTACAGCTATACCATGGCGGCAGCGAGTCACATCATCTTACAACATTCTCTCTTTGAAGGGGGGGGGTAAAGCTTTCGAAACTGCCGTAACCTGTGCCGAGAACAGCGAACAATCGATTTCAATCACAGACTTTGGTCAACTGCCTACAATCTTGGACAAGTTATCTCGAGGTTCAACAAGTTTTTATGCCATCAACGTACAGGTAATTTTATAAAGTCTGTTGGTTAAATAACTCCTTTTTTTCCAGATTTGTCACAACACGCAACGGTGTGCTTGAAAATCTATCAGTGTAGTTAATCGGATATTAGGCCTATTTACCTTTGGATGCACTTTTTGTCCACTTTCACATTTTTCCACATTCTGTTGATGCTCTCTTTGTGCCGTTTTTCACAAGTTGCAAAACTGGAATTCGTCCACAACTTTGAATAGAGTAAGGAAAATGCAAATGTCCCGAAAACAGTTCTGTCCGATGTCATGCATTAGAGGGGAAAAAGGACATCCAACCTCAGTCTCGAAAGTCGATTGTCGCGGCTGACTCGATCGGGTACTAACCCTCATCTGCTCATACCGACTCTGAGGTTAACCCCTTCCATGTAGGACCAACAAGTTTCCTATGGATCAACGTCACCGTGACTGGAAGGCTGTTTGTTTCACCACGACTGTTCTGGATCGCGATCAGTGATCCTTCGGTGGTTCACTGACACCAGTGCCCGCCTAATGGATAGAGCGAAAAAGCTTTGGCATCTCTGATCGAGATCAAGATCCGTTTGAAACAAACAGCCTCGTGTTATTTTGCTGATCGCCAATGGAAAAAGTTATGAAATTTCTTTTACGGGAAAGACCTCGGCATAATGTTTGGCCAAAACAACAGACGTGTTCACTAATGAATTCATAATGATGAACGCATGCGCACAAATGGCCTTGGTGGCCAAGGCCATTGGAAATGTACAGGGGTGCGATTTTGATAATTTTCTCTGGAGTTTTTCCTTCAGAAACCGATTAACCATCTGCTCAACTTGAAACCGGTCTCAAGCAACAACGTTGAATAACCCCCCAAGTTTAAGTTTAACCCCGTTATTGCTTTTAAAAAATTGCGAGAGTTTTTCTCCTGCGTAAAAAGTGATGCAATTGATTTCAGTGGCATGATGCACACGATGGATGCCGAATGTTGGAGTACTTGCACGGCAAAGCTCGATGAGAGAAAAAAAGCTTAGCATTAAATGCATTTCCTGGCTCATCCTCACTTCTGTATGTGTGGGTGTGTGTGTATGTACACCAATCCAAGCTTTGTTAATTGGTGCTCATAGAAGGCACACTTGCATTGAGGGACACTTCTCGTCGGCGTGTAATGACGCGCCTTGGCTGTCTCTCATGCGGCGCCTTGCGCTCATAACCGTAAACCGGACATCTGGCAGTATGGAGATGTGTACATGTGCATCACAACAACACAGATAGATACCTCGTAAATGTCTCGAGCAGCAAGTGCAGATTTACGGCGTTATAGAGGCGATTAATTACTAAGTATGAGTGAATGTACCTTATAACAATGGTGACAACTGCATCAAATACTCGGAGGAAATTAACAAAAAACAAAACAAAACCAAAAATGTCCTTGAAAAGAACTTCTTAACTGAGTTGTGCTGTGACCATTAATGGGTTTCCAAAGGCTTACTTCATATTGATGAATTAAAGATCACGTGCCCGTACACCACAAAGAAAATTGAAAACAGAACATTTCAGAGGCTCATTTTTGGTCAAACGGGATGCACGCGGGCTCAACCTACGATTAAGTACATGTACAGTATGTATACTGTGTAGTGCAACTCTAGGCAAAAGTTGCAGACTGAGTGACAAAAGCTGCAAATCGAGGGTTTATTCCTCAGTTGAAGCAATTTATGAACTCGTAAGTGAAGCTGATACGTCTAATAAGACGAAACAAAATAAATATGCTGTTCAATAACAAGAGCTATTTGCGAAGCACCCAGGAACATCTGTTGTAAAATGAATGCATTCGGCACGTGATCTGTGTAATGAGTTCATGTTGGAGTGAGAAAGGAAAACGGAAACTTTCACTCAAAGAGGGCGTGTTAAGGCGATGTATGCAAAACAATTAACGAATGCTGCACAGCCGTGCGGTGGATACCGAAGAATTTCATTCAGGGACAGACTCGATGCTCCATTCTCGTGGATTAAAACTTTCCCGCTCATTCCATTTCAATCGGAGCTGGTGTGAAGGATCACTATCACACACAAGTGTGTAAACGCCTTCAATCGTGGACTCCCTATTGTTCCTCTTTTGTTCACACTTTAACTTTTTTTTTCGGAAGACCTCCCAAATGTTTTGTACACGTTTTCCAACCGTGGACTCTTCGGCAACCGTGGACCCTATTGTCCCCTATTGTTATAGGTCCACGATTTGAATGTGTATAAAAACTCAACACAACGCAACGCAGCGCAAAGCAACACTTTTGTATTGGGGCAGACGTATTCGCGGCACGGGGTCCAACGCTGCGCTGTGATCCGTCGGCTTTGAATGACAAATGAGCGGATTTTCGTAAGAACCCATAATTCAGTCACTGGCTTGTTCAAGACTGCGATATGCAATAACAAGCCAAAGGGCTGTACAATTTATTTATTTATTTATTCCATTTCTTTACCCAGGACATGCCCAAACAGTTACAAACTGGTTTCCATTGGGGCCCTGCGATCATTACAAGTTAATAAAATAGTTAGAAACTCACAACGAAAAGTAAAATTGACAAATACGACAAACATCAATATTTACAAATACAAACCACTAAAATATCACAATGCAGAATGCAACCTGCTTGAGAATTGACCCGATAGAAAAAAATCGGGACTGCAAAGTCTTTTGCGTGCCAAATCAGGACGGGCGAAAAAAAAATCACAAACGCAAAGGATGGTGAAAATAGATAATTAAAACACTGGATATTGTGTTAAGAAACCCCACATATATTATCTTACAAGAGCTTTCAAAGTGTAATTGTGTTATTTAAACCTATACATTGTATTTTTGTGATGGATAAAACAAAACCCTGCAGGCCATCCACGTGCCGATACAGACGATATCACCGTGTTATCGTGTTCTTTGAAGAACAGCTACCGAGCAGCGACCAACCTTGCTTTTCAAACGCAGAACAATGCCATGTCAGATATTTTAATTAGAGTTCGCAATGCTGCAGCTCGCCAGGTTAGCGGCGAGTTACATGAGCCAGCGCCATCAACCGGCAGGACATTTTGTTGTTGTTGTTGTTTTAAGCCAATTGGCCATTGAAACGAAAAGGGCACTTTTACCTATTTCATCACCACGCCCGTCGCTTCCCAAGAGCAGTTAATTAAAATACTTGTTTTTCCACTTCACCACAATTGGGCCCACAATGCACGCGTAAATACTGCAGTGTGTAAATAATAGCGCGGGTCATAGACGGTGAAACACAATCATGTGATGCTCTTGGTCGGCTGACCTTTGGAGTGTTCGTTCCCCACCCCCGTCCCGTGCCACTTGGCAAGTCCTAGCCTACCCTTGGAAGCAAGGGGAGCACTAAATGACCGTTAGGCAAGCAAGATTGGCATTTAAAAAAGAACTCACGTTTTAAAGATTCCAACAAGATGTAGTCCCAGTCCAGACGGTACCGTTCTACTTTTTCACAAACCAAACGGGACTGATCGAATTGCAAAATGTTTACTCATTCTCGGTCGTCGTCCACTAATGTCACCATGGATGGATTGCTTCGCTGTTTTAGAAAAAAAATGTTTAAGGGGAATTCCACCCCTTGGCTCTTCAGGGTCAAAGATATTAGTTGTTATAAAAACCTATACAGTTTTCATTGATACAGACGTTTCACGCCGATTATTGGAATACCGACGCCCGGATTATAGGAACCTGGAACAATATTCAGTGTTAAGTTGATGGATTTTAAGAAATTTGGAAGGGCTTTGACATGGCGTCGCTGGTACATATATCTCAAAAAACTTTTTTTTTTGCCTGTGAGGGTTGTCAGTATAGTTTGATGCACATTACGTATGAGGCTTAACCACAGTCTGTAATGATGCAAATAACTTGTTACTATTTCACGACCAAGAAAAAGGATAGATGATATTAATTATACTGTATGCCTTACAGTATTCATTATTTCACGAGCAAAATGCAAATGCACCTCCGGAGTTACATTTGACAGTCAGCCACCCAAAGAGTCGATTAAGTGAAAGTTACAAAGGGCAGGGGAGGTTCATAGTTATGCAGTAGCTTTTATCGACACATCGGTTGAGACTGCCTGCCGGCCATGCCACCACAGTTTCAACGTGACCGAACACTAAATCACTGGTGGTTTGTACACAGATCACGCCGTGAAGCAGTGCTGAAATCTCGTGGATTAGCGCAATCCCTCCCGCGGGACTTTTTCGTTCGAGGAAACTTGAGGAGAGACCGATCAAGTACTTGTCGAGAGCGGCAGCTAACGGCGGTGCGCGTGCAGAGCCGATGAGAGTGTGCTGGCTCCCTATTGGCTGATTCCTGCGTGGTTCCCTGCGTGACCGATGATTACTCACAATCCCCGGGTCCCGGCCTGGCGGGGCTTTGTTGGCGTCATATCAACGCGCACGTTCCCACGTCTTTCATCCATTCACCTGCCAACCGTAATGTGTATTTATTCGCTTCTCTAGCACCCGGTCGGTACGGTAGAGTTAGACGGAGAGAGAGAGCGGGAGAGAGGGGGAAATCAAGCCGCAAGACGCGAGACACAAGCAAGTTAATGGATAGAGCGGAGATGACAGCACTGAGTAGCACGATGACGGTGTGAGACGAGTCCAGTGGGGGAACAAAGGCACTATCGCGTCAACGGGTTGACGACGTAGATGCAAGCACATCCGCTGCCGAGTCGTGTAGCCACGGGGCGAACGCATCACGCAACATTATCGTTTATGGGCTGCGGCCTGCTGGCTCGGCGGTCCACAGCTTCCACCGTTTCAACCCAGTCGTCATTGGGGCAATGCTAACGAGCCTTTCCCGGAAGATATTGGGGACTACGTCGGGACGCGGGCCGCTCGTCGACTCTATCGGCAACTGATGACATTGTGCCGGCCTGTCTTTCATCGGGTCGCCGCTAGCCATCTTTACGCTGATTATTTCCGCATATTTTCGGATATTAAGATATGTTTTTCGCGTGAGGTGCAAGTGGGAGTACACACCTCCACAGGTTGTGTTTACTGGGAGAATACATCGGTCCTGTTAGCATCACCTGTCGCTGGCGTTGATCCTTGGCAAGCTTAGGTGGGCTTTCAGCAATTCACTTCCCCTTATCACGCGAGCGCTCTCGGCCTGTCTTCTGTTACCATTTTGGGGGGACCCGCTGGATTTTGATGAGCGCGTACCGTTGTCTCGACGTGCCCGTTCATCTGCTGCGCTCAGCGTGGTCTGGATTACTCTGGCTGGTGTATGGTACTGAGGAGGGAGAAGTTGTCCACAGCATGTCAGCTCCGTCACCGACCTCCAAGCAGGTGGAAGTCTGGCTTCAGGAGAACCAGGAATGGTTTGAGGACTACTTCTTGAAGAACGGCTCCAAGAAATTAGTCCAAAAGTGGATCGAATCGCACAAGGGGGAGATGATCGGCTCGGGCCCTAACAACTTCGGCTTGAAGCCGGCCCTGTCGCCGTCCACTCAGCGACGCGTCACGTACGCCCAACTCAGCAACAACAAGAGTCGCACCAACTCGCAGAGCGAGGAAAAACCGGATAATAATAACGAGGAAGTTAATCCCATTAGGCCGCGATCCGGCTCGAGACAGTACCTCAGGCAGGACTTTGCAAAGGCCAGGTCTAGAACGTTGTTCAATACCTGGGCCTCGCCGTCCCCTGCTGGTATGGATAACGAGGACCAGGACCAAGACACTGGACCCACCTCACCCCGGGACCCAAGCAACTGCAGGAGGGGTCAGCTGAGACGTGCTTCCACGGTGCCACCAGAGAGACACTCTATCAGCATGCTAAGCCTCCTGCTGGAGCCTAAGGTGCGGTTGCCGCACCGGACCAGCATCACCAATGAGGCTAAGCTGGAGCTGCGCTCCACGGACGAGAGGCAGTTCTTCCTTACCTTGGTCAAGGACATCTCCCACGACCTGGATTTGGACAGTCTCCGCGACAAGATCACCACCAATGTCGGGATCCTGGTCAACAGTGAGCGGACGTCGCTGTTCCTCCTCGAGGGGCCCAAGGGCCGGGAAATGCTGGTCTGCAAACCCCATCGGCTGGCCTACGAGAGGGAGTTTAACAATGGGGGCAAGGGAGTGTCTTGGCAGGACGGGGGAATTATGCTTTCACCCGGTGAAGGGTTTGTCGGGCGAGTGGCCGAGACCGGACAGACGCTTCGGATTGAATCCCCGGGAGAGGTAAGCTAGTTAAGGGGAATCCCAGTCTAAAGAAATAAAAACATGAGAATGCAGCAAAACCAATCGCAACCTCATCTGAAGACCAAAATGATGATGCATTTATGATCGACCTGCCGAGCTGTTAACTGCTCACGGTTCATTGCCTAGTACATGTATTTGCGGTAACCACCTCTGTCAGTTTTATACATGACTGAAAACAAGTCTTAGGCTGTGTCCAAAACGGGCTTACAGGGCTGCGGCTCTTCTCGTCTCCACGTATTTCTAGTGGAGTGAAGACCTAGGCCGAGCTCTAGACAACACATTCGGGTGCAACTATACTCCGTCTATGCACTGACGCTTATGGACTAAAATTGATGTCAAAACGATGCGCGTGAGATACTTGCACGTGCCAAAAATAATGGATGCATCTGTCAAGCCAAATATATCAATTTGGCTCTCAACGCTATACCACTTAACATGCGACGTGACAACAGGTATGACGTCATGAAAATTATTAGGAAGGGGTACTAGCTCCTTCCCACTTTGAATTGGCATTACGTTTCATTTTGATCTGATTTCAACATGTGTGAAACGATGAACGCTTCACTCAGTTAACTCACAAATGAAACCCTTTGAACTTTTGATGGAGCTCGTCGTTAAAATGGAACCAATTTGACAACATAAATGCCTTAGATTGTAAAGGCCAACGTTCCCATCTCAAACCACTCGATAGCAGATCCATTTACGATTGAAACTAAGTCACCAGCCTACCCTAATACCGGGTTTGAAACCCCAGGGCACCTCGGTTCAATTCCTGGTCTATTCAGCGTGTTCGCCTGCCCTGTTCGTTCTGTTTCCATCTCTAGTCTCCGCGATGCGGTCCATCCATTTCGACGGCAATATCGTTGTGAAATAATTGCCGGCCTGCGGCCGGGTTCATTAATTACATGTCTTCGAGGCATCACTCTAGCCGCTTAGTAATCCGCCGGGCGACATGACGATATGGTCAGCTTTAATCAAGGCCGTCTTGCTCAGGCCGTGTCCGAAGCCGGCTTCCAGAGCTACGGCTAGGTCTGCTGTCTGCGCATCTCTGCGAATTTCCAATGGACTGCAAACCTAGCGCCATAGGTCTAGAAACCAGATTCAGATGCAGTCGCAGGTACACATATAAATCACAAGGAATTGCTCTAATCGCGGTGTGGGAAGAGAACAGTGGATAGACACATAAACCGTTTCTACATACTTGATATTACACAGTGACACATAATGCGGCATGCATTGTGAAAATAAATATATTTTAGAGTTTTCAATACGAAGTATAGGAACTTAGTACTTAAAAAGAGGTACATTGCGATTAAAGAAACTACAAGTTTCAAAAAGACGTAATCATGATTAAATCATCACAAAACACACAGAAATTTCCCCTTGTCGACAAAGATGGAAACAAGAAACGTAATTTCATCTCTGTTTTGGTTCTCTGAAAATTAATGTTGTCGTTGTTATGTTAGGCCTATGCGCGTAGACTTAATCGGGAACAGAGCTGCAGTCGTCTTATGGGATATCTATGTAAAATGCAGGGTTAAAAACAATCGAGCGCTCACATCCGAAGAGCAGGGACAATCACCTTTAATTTCACATTTTCTTTTTAAATGAGGCCGCACATCTCAGAAAAGTTCCAGTCCAGACAATAAATTATGTACATGAACGTAAGCTGCAATGTATTGTTCAAGAACAGAATCAATCTCACTCTGGTTAATTTGACCATTCCGCGTAAAATCTGACAACGTCTTTCTAAGGTGCGACTATCGGTTTAGCCGCATAATCAGATGACGAAACCACTGCTGGGTAAAAGAGTATTTACTTCGAGTCGGAGCCTGAAAGCCCGTGAAATATCACGACACTTTGACCGCGCCGCTGTTCCAAGATTAAAAGACGCAAAAAGCAATACTTTTTAATTTCGAGCTGAGGTGCAGTGTCCTCTCAGGGATGATCTATGGATTCGTCAAGAGAGCAATTCTACTTTAGGAACACCGCATGTCTCCAAGGATGAGATTAGTGCTGTATAGGAGCGATTGATTTGAGATACAGCACCTAATATGACAACTATAGCAGACTGCGCAGTGCGAATGAATTACAGTACGAATGAATTACATCGATTTGCAGTGTCCATAAGTTAACCAAACAGTGCTCACCGGGGGACAAACGAAAAGCACCCACAAACCCCCAATAATAATAATAATAATAATAATAATAAAAATAAATAAATAAATAAACAAAACAGTGGAAAACAAACGGATATATAAACAAAACAGAGAAAGCAAACTGTTCATGTTATTTGATATTCTAAACGCGTTGTCACCATGTTTATTACAATATCAGCCGAAACTTGCTCACATTTATGGAATACTTTCTATAGTGACTGAAATGTTTACACTTGAAGACTTAGGAAACGCTACTTTCAGTCCGTTTATTGCATTCTGTATACTTTCAGGTATCTAAATTGAGAAAATGTCCAACTCCATTAGTTTGGGTGTTGAGTTCTGACACAATAAAAAGTTTGAGCTAAGGAAAACATCAGGCAGGGAAAGGAGACGTCCGCACAGACTGATGCAGTCGTTCGAGAAATGCTGCCAGTGACTCGAGTCACTCTACATTTCAATGACTCGACTCGAGTCACTGCGTTACAATGATTCGACTAGACTTTAGTCACAAAAATGAGTGACTCGTTACAACTCTGTCGAAAGTCCCATTGAAAATACAGTCGACATACCAGTCGCACAATCATCTGTCGTCTATCACTCCAGGATGAATGATTGAATCATCAACGTGAAAGGGTAAAAACTTGGAGGCCCTGTTCCTCTTCGTGTAGTATGTATAATGCTTTGTGCTCCTCGATCATGTACGAATTCTTTCATTCCCGTTGTCATCAGTGGACGGCATTTTCTCTCCTCTATTAGCGGCTGGGATTCTTGTTTCAAAAAGGGAAAATACATTTGAAGTTTATGTACAGGATCGATTGATATGGCGCATCGCAGACGGTTGAAAGTACCGATTGAGTCCACGAAAGTTGTTAGAGTGCGTCCAACTGGAAATAGCTATGCGCGCATGAGTACAACTTACTAACTATTCCCATTGTCACCTTTGATATCTTATAAATTGTTTTTCAATTTCAATATATTTATTTTTCTTTCTATAAACACGTCAGTACAGACAGTCAGTCTAACATGTAGAGCACGCTGTAAGGACTTTCGAGAACAGGTCTATTAATCGGTGCAAAATAGTTACCAAGCGACTGCTTATGTCCTTGGTTATGAAGTTATCAAAAGTCATTCTATATACCGACGAAACTCTTTGAAAATTATTTGTTCTCTGACTTATGTTATGAAACCCCAGTGCATATTTTGCTTGGGGCAGACACCTTTTTCAACAAGAGGGGTGAACCGGCTGTACGCACAGAGTAACGCAGAATTTTTTTTTAAACACCTTTTCTAACTTGAATCTGGACTTCGACTTGCAGGGTGGCCTCAACTACAACACCAACAGAAACTGAAAAAAAAAGTGAAGAACTCTTTCATTTATTAATGGCTTTTATGATTGGTCGTGTAAAGTGAGGGAATGCATCCCGCAAACGCAGGTGTCACCGAAGTTGCAGACCGTCACGGTTCCACGAAGAGACGCTGTGGATTTTGAACCAAAAAAAAAAGGTTTTCGAGATAATCGCCTGAGAGGTTTCTCCTATTGTAAAGCTGCAAAACATACTAATTTGAAACACCTGCATGCAGTAAAAACCCCTTAAATGATTCTTTGAGAGATAAACTTATACGTGAACCCAGCAATTACAATGAACACAGAGGAAAAATAGCCGAAATCAGTTGGTAGAATGCACGTCCATTCGTGAAAACGAAAAATACAAAAATGTCTTGTGATACGAAAGCCCTGGAGTGCCATCAAGTATTCATTTTCAAAAAGTGAAGGTTTTTCCCAAGTTCGTTTTCATGAAGTATATTTTTTCAACTTCACTTATTCGAGATGTATTTTCCAACGTTTGTTCTAGATATACATTCTCCAGTTCTTTCAAGTAAGATCTAATTACAGAAACGTTGTTTCTATTTTGGGAAACAAATCTTTTCACAAGATATATTTTTAAAGTTCGTTTTTAGGGGAGTTTTTAAAGTTCGTTGTTATAGTTATGTTTTTTAAGTTTGTTTTACAAAAATATGTCCAAACCTGTCAATGTATGTCTTCTAAAAATTAACTTGGAAAAAACAACTTTCATCCAAAAAATAAACTTCATCCAAAAATGTATCTCGTAAAACGATTTGTTACCAAAATAGAACAATGAATGCATGTCTCGAACAAACGAAATTTGAAAAAGAAAGTCGGAAAAGACGTCCTTAACACTGACTTCGAAAAAAATATTGCAGTTTTTGAAAATATATCCTTGATGGCACTACAGGGCTTTCGTACTATGACGCCCTTCTGTTTTATAATATTTCTTCCACAGAGCAGAGGCACGCATCTTTCTACGTGCGCATAGCTGCAAATGTAAATGGTGCGTGTCTCTTCGTGCAAACGAAAATCTGTTGTACTTCTTTTTGGCAATAATTATGTTTAGAGGGACAGTCAAATTTGTGTCTCTTCGTGAAAATGCAAAGTGCAATTATCGAGATTTCTGCCCCTAGCAACATTCATGTTATTTTGACTTTTATGATGTTTTGCTTGTGAGAGCACGTCACAATGGTCCAAGTACGATGTTTTTTTAAACAAATAATGAAAACAAATCGCAGTCGAAAAAAAGATGTCAATTCTGACACGTGACATTTTGAAAAGTCAACCGACAAGCACACGTTTTGGTCAACTGTGCGCTTCTTATTTTTGATTTTGGAGACATTTTAACAAATACATAGTTCAACCAAGATTTCTGGGCTGGATAGTCTCCTGAAGATTTTTATTTTTTTTTTGTACTCAGTGAGCACGAGTCCGTGCTGGGGTAAAACTGCGGTAAATATATTTAAGAAATC